ATTTTTTTGTTCTCGAACTTGGGATGTGAAGTGCATGTGATGCAAGCAGTGTGGTGCAAGCTGCTTGGTGCAATCGTAGTGGTGCAATCTATGTGCTGCATGCCATCCGTTGCAATTCATTTGCCGCAAGCTATGCGGCCCTGGACAATATACTGTGCGACCGATGGGGTGCAGTCTGTGGGTGCATCAAGAGGCGCAGGGCAGAGCACGTGCCGGCCACGAAGCGGCCACGGGCGCTGACGGGGGGAATCTCTTGAACAAGCTAGTGAGCGCTTGGGGCGTCCACGAGGCGCCCACGGGGCGCCCACTGGGTGAAAACTTGGAAGCCTTAGCCGCCGCACGGCGCGAGCACCAGGAGAGAACACGCCAATCACCGCAAGCGTGTATGAAAGCCCCTTGGGGCAAGCGCTGATGGGTGACTCGTGTGAGCAGCGCAGGGGCGGGCAGCCAGAGGAGATCCTCTTCTTCTGAGCGGCGCCGCTCGGCCCGCGCGCGAGCTGGGGCCTGGCCCTTTTGGGCTCCTCTTTTTGTTCCTCCTCCTCCTCCTCATCCATTTTCTCTGTTTTCCTCCTCCTCCTCCCCCTCCCCCTCCCCCTCCTCCTCCTCCTTCTCCTCCGCCTCCTCCTCCTCCGCCCGCGCGCGCCGATCGTGATGATGACGGTGGTGCTGATGAGGTGATGGCGTGGGTGCTTCTCTGTTAGTGCACGGTGGTACTTTGCGTGGCTACTCCAGATTTCGTAATAAAAGGGAGGGGGTCTCAACCCTCCCAGACGAGAAGTTTTAGACCCCCCCCGTGGGAGAAACCCTCCAAAACATCGTCCCCAGACCCCCCCAGGCCCTCCAAGATAGCCTGGAAGAGGCCCCCCCCGAAATGAGACCCCCCTCCCTTTATTACGAAATCTGGAGTACAGGAAACGGCCCTGCAGGGCTCATCAACTCTGCGCGTCCCCTGTCCCGCTTGTTGGCTTGAGTCTGGTCTCCAATTTTACTCATGTGGTGGACACTTACACCAAAAGGCAGTTGTCGATTTTGCATGGGGTTTCCTTCGAGTGGCTTGCTCCATGAGCAGCTTGGTTGCTTGCAGCACGAGTGCTGAAGATCAAATATTGAGAACGCGCGCAGGCTTCGGATGAACACGCGTGTTCGACTGATGGCGCCATGAGGTGATCGGCTTCGTATGCGCTCAATGGCAATACCATATGTGTAAAGCAAGTTTTGCTTCAGCCAATTTCCTGAATTATCAGCCCTTCTCCGCAGTCGAACGGTACCATGGATCAGCTAGCTGGCATTGATGTTGCGACACATATGTCGGGCTACTGGTTGGGTCTATCCAGCAAGTTCGGTGAAAATGGATGCTCGCCGCCCCCCGACTCTCGGACACAGCATGAGCCTCCGACGACTCGTCGAATGCCTTTGGAACCTTTGGGAACCTTTCAGCACATCAGAGAGCATGGGATCGCATCATATGGTCAGTATCCGACACTCTTAATCCAGAGTGCCAGGGAGCTGGATACACATGACGCGGCGAAAACGGGGCCGTCTTCACCGACATTGGCGCGTCAGCTGCCCGCGTAAGCTCGCGCGTGAAAGCCCTCGTTCCCACTGTAACGTGCCACGCTGGCGGCCCGCGTACGCCGCCGCGTAAGGTCGCTACGCCATCTCGCAAAAAAAAAAAACGTTTTTGATCGTCGCTTACATGACGCGACCGGCCAGGGCCAGAGCTGGACGTTCTCACGTGTTGCCGCGTGTGCTTCCACTGCTCGGTCCCTCCGTGGCCGGGCGCGCCAGGCTTCCGCATATGCGCATCCGGCGCGCGGCCTCCACCTTGTCTTCCACACATGGAACCAGTTCGACCACGCGCAGACGGGGGTACAGTCGGGGCCCTGAAGAAGGAACCCTTTGCGTTGGGGAGGGGCTCGGTGTTCCTTAAGTGTTTCGCAGCTTGCCTCAGGTTTTTCTCATGTTTTCGATGGGAAATCGAAGTTCAACTCATGGAAAACAGGGGCCTCGTTCCCTATTTAGGGTTCCTTAGGTCAACGCCCCGACTGTAGGGTGAGAAGGGGATGCTTCTTAGAAGCACCCCCTGCTTCTTAGAAGGCGCGGGCCTTCTCCATAGACGCCAGGTCGGGGCCTTCGAAGAAGCAGGGTGCTTCTAAGAAGCCTTCCCCCCCCTCCCCCTACCCCCGTCTGCGCGCCGCCAACATTCGCGTGTTGTCAGCTTCCTGTTGAAGCTGCGCCGCCGTAGCGTGCCCGCAACGCGGGCGTCGCAGGCCCACCCGGGTAACGGGCCAGCCTGGCTTGCCCGATATGCGGTGCGGCCTCGTCCCCTCCTCATTTCCGCCTGGGCTCCCCCCAAGGAGAAGGAGGAGGAGGAGGAGGAGGAGGAGGAGGAGGAGGAGGGAGGAGGAGGAGGAGGAGGAGGAGGCGGTGTGGAGGTGGAACAGGTGCAGGATGAAGGCGGCGATGACGAGAGGGTGGTGGGAGGAGGGATGATGCTGAT